CGAGTCTAATATCAAGAGCATATTATGTTGTGTACGACACAATTTTTTACGAATGTTATCTTAAGTATTTTTTGGAATGAATGCACTAATGTCCTCTGGAAATAAATTTGCAACAAATGGCTTTTAAAGTAAACAGTGACACCCACCAACCACTTCGATCAGCTAAAAGCTTCCTTTGATGTAATCTTCTCTTTTCTTTGGTGTATCATCCTCTTACCTTTTCTTCTTGATGTTTCTCTTCATCTATTTTTACCTTTCAGCTAAGATCTTCCACTGCTTTATCAGCTTTTTCCACTTGAAACCTAACTTTTAACTCAAAATTGCTAGAGTCTTTATAAACAGACACGCGTTAACGTACGCGGGGTGTAGTAAATTTTATTACCCGAGAAAAAGGCATTTTGGAATACGGACTACAGCAATGTTCAGTACACTTTCAAGACACAAGAATTGAAGAAAACGTTTTTCAATTCAAACGTTTTTCAAAAATTCCACTACGTACTCCCCTTAGAAGGCCTTGACAATGGCGGGAGCATAAGGGAGGTGCGCGGCGGCGCTTGCACTAGTTGACAAACTCCTGTTCGCTGTCACGGGAATGCGTGCTCACTGTTCACTATTCTGAATGAGAGAGTCTACACGGCATTGTTGTCGGAGTGACAGAGCCCACAGATGACTGTCATCAGAATAAGAGATCACAAGTCACTGTCGTCTGAATGAAGCAGCATTGGAGCAGTTTAGACCAAGTACATTGACTCTAAGGTCTAGGGTTCGAAACCCGCGTATGCATTAATGTTTTAAGTTATGTACTTTCTGGGGGGGGGCATTCTGTATTCCTCATGTATTACATCTAAACCCTAATCAATTTAGAATCTCCTATTTTTTTCGGTAAATGTGTGTGAGTGTGTATAATAGAGGAACTGGGACCCTACTCCCAAAACAATGGTACAAGCAGTGAGATAGGATACCATAGGGAAACCATTGGATATGCGCTGCATATCGAAACTTTCCCTCCTCTTAACATTTCTCAATAATTACTCAGATTTTAAAAAAAGAACCTTACTACAATTAAAGATATACAATTGAATGAAGTTATGCAGAAAACATGCATGCCACAAGAAAAATGTTGCTATATATCTTAAATTTTTGAGCAGCAAAAGTGCAAGCCGAAAATTAGATATGTGGGAACGTTAAGTTCAACATACGCACTGTATGGAAAAGGAAAATAGAAAGCCCACAAAACTGTTTCGTGACGTTCATGATTGATTTGTTTTTTGTTAGCGATTCCGGGGACGTCAACTACTAAGGTCATTAATCCCGTAAGTGTAGTGTATGTTTCCTCGTTGATCGCCCGCCGGGTGGCGAGAACCGGGGCCGACATACCGTCGGCTAACCAGATGTTTCCACCAGCAGAGCACTGCCCCAGCCGAGACAAACTCTAAGCTCCCGACCGGTCTCCTGGCATTATTAGAGTAAGTGGGTGTAAGTAAGGTGTTATAATAGGACAAGGAAGAAGAAGCAAATATAGCGCTCGGTCCGTGGCCCGTTTGCTAGGGTTCTGCTCCGGCATTCGCCTAGTGTTGATTGGAGAAACCACGGAAAACCACCGATCGGAGCAGCCGGCCGCTAGAATTCTCCCTCAGACAGTGACTGAATTCGACCTACCTGATAAGCGAAAAAATGTGGAAAATCATGCCACCGTCGCGACTCGAACCTCGTACTTCCCGAATAGAGGCACTGCAGTGACATTAGTTGATGCCTTGAGCCACCTCTCCCGGTCAGTATTAAGTCTCGAAAACTAATGAAATGAGGGAGTTTTACAAACTTTGGAGCAATACAATGACTGTTCACTGTGAACACAGGTTTGAAGAAGTTTCTGAAAATGTAGTTGAAATGTTTTAGGATATTTACATGTATACAAAAAAAATTAGCCACTGACTTTTTGTGAAAGAACACGATTTCTGGCAATTGCGTTTATATATTCACTAATCTTTGCATTTAAAATTACTCTTCTTGCGTAAGAAAACTCGTTTTTTGCGTTCGGTAACAATAATCTCACATTCGTATGTTTTGTCGAAGAAGCAAGGTCATCTTTCAAGAAATGTTGCGAGTAATAATACCTCTACATTCAAATAAGGCGCACTATCCTCTTAATCGATCGTAGTTCCTCTGCGGTCGGTAGGTGTCAGCACGTCGCAGATTCACCAGTTTGTCGGAAACGCGCCGGCCTCCAGAATATTTTTTTTTTCTTTCCCATACTTTCACATACAATTATTTCAAATTTTATGTTATTAGAACGAAGTAAAAATTGTAATATGACAAATTAGGAGGTATTATAAACTTGGTATTTCGGCAAATCGCCTAAGAAAATCAACAGAAAATCAGATCCCAACATTTTTTCATGAAAACAAGTAGTATGATGGTATCCAATTCAGTTGAGAATAAACAGAAAAATATAGTTATCAGGCTCTATCTTTTTGATAAGTAGACCATTTATTTCACGAAATAAACTTATTATTTGAGAGTTAACAATTCGAGAATTCGGCTAAATTCAAAAGTACCCATTTGTAAACTAGTGGTGTTACAATAGCACATACTCTGTCGTAATATTATTAACAGTTTCGGTGTATTATAATTTTGCAAATTATACTCCTAGATCATCTCTTGAAAATATAAACGAAGTGCTAAAAATAAATATCTTTATTTTTTTAATACAAAATTTTAATTAGAAATAGTTTATTTTTTTATTTTTGGATGAAGAATATTCATTTTTTCAGTATATTCACTTACATGAATTTATGAATAATAATAGTAATAATAATAGTAATAATAATAGTAATAATAATAGTAATAATAATAATAATAATAATAATAATTCTTTAGGCTTTTTCAACTTCAGGGGATGTCCATTTTGACTATCCACGCCGGGTACCATTCTGACCGCCTCGTCTTTAAGCACTTTTGTCTACTGAGTTGGGCGTATGAGAAGCTTGTTATAATTGCAGAAGTACAGTAAAACTTGCCGAATTTGGATTCTCAAGGGACCAGAATTTTTTTCCGTATTAGACAATATTCCGCATTACGCAATATAAAACTGTAGAAATTACATTTGTCAGGACTGCGATTTATGTTTACATTAGACAGATTTCCGCATTGTACACATTCTATATTGAGCAAGTTTTACTGAATAATATTATCTTATCATCGTTATGTGAACGAGATGTTTGTCTTATCATTCAGTGTATTCACGTTATGTATAGTGCCAAGGTTTCTCAGAACGAAAGCTTTGATGTCTACCGTTAATTATCGTCCTGAGTTTTTTTCATCACTACTTGCACCTACACGCTTCCACGGACTTGGAAATATGATACAAACTATTCACTGAGTTTAAAACGGAATAAAACCTTGTACTATTTGTCTTTGAGTATGTTGTCAGCCATTGTTTGTTCTGAGATGTCGGATCTCTCGACGAAGAGCCTATTTTTGACTCTGCAAGAGATGGAGGAAAATGATTCAGGAGACGATCTTGATTGTCATGATGTTCAGGACATATTTTTTTCTGAAATAAACCGAGATTTTACCAAGTTTATCAGCGAGGCGTCTTATATGAGTTACCTGATATCAGTAAGTTTCATGTGAGAAGGGGGGGGACAGCTGGGGCAACTTGCGACAGGCCTCGACTTATCTGGGGCCCCACTTTTTTTCAATAAAATAATGAAAAATATTCTTACCTCTAATGTGAATTTAACGCTGTAAGTTATTTCTGATACCTGTAGAAAAGGATTCTCTTTATGAACTGGAGGAGGACGATTTTAAATAAGGAGCCCCCTTGAATCCACTTCTCCGGAACTCTTTCTTTGGACACCCTTGTCAGTTTCAACAGGTGTACAGAAAATTTGTCGTCTGCATTTTTTAAATTTCATTGTTTATTTGCTTTTTGGACACCCCATACTGATCGAGATGGGGGTCATTGACCCGGAAGCTAAAGTACATTATTTATTATAAGCATATTAAGTCTTGTTTTAATTATACAAATGTAAACCAAATAATTATATTTCATTTTTTGTTAAAATAAACATCACTTTTCTTTTTGATGATTAGTATAGTCTCTAATTGTATGGAAATAGTTATGCAACATTTCCTTCATATAGCCACAAATGTTACTGCAGACGATTAACTGCTTTCAACTAGAGCTCACTGCAGATTTACTCCATTTATAGCTTTCCGTGGCTTCTGCGATGAACATCAGGTGAATGCTGGTGCTACAAAAATGCCACAGCAGTATCCTTACAGCGGAACCCTTTCAAATGCGCTACGGACTGCCCGCGATCTGTCCTTGCTCTTCACTGCCCTAACCTCACCCTTACAATTGCATGCACTGTACTACCACACATGTCGAGAGACCGTCGCGCGTTTAGTTTGTCCCGGCTGGGGCGGTGCTCCGCTGGTGTAAAATACCAGTTTGAGGATCTCCTCCCACATACCGACGTGTAGGTCGGCGCCGGATCTATTTATTTATATATTATATAATGCTCTACCTCCCGTAACACAATTTGTACGGCAATTACGGGAATAATCATGGCGGTGACGCGCCTGGAAACACCAATCAATCAATTTACTGCTTTTCGACATTAAATACAGTTTTAAATGTTCATTGCACAGGTCTATTTAAATGTTTGTCTAAAATGATTTACCAGTTTTTCTTCGTATATTTCATAACTAAGCTTTCCCTTGTTAGTGATTTTAAATTCGAAATCCCGCGTTGTGTACGAAACTCTGCAAAGAGGAAATATTCATTTGTTTTTCAAGATATAAATTTGGCCACCAGATATCACCACTGACTGTGAACAGTGATTCACAAACGTACGTCATTGGTTGACAGGAAAAGCGTGCAAAGCAGTGCAAAGTAATCAAAAACGTTCGGTAAAATATGATTTTAATATACTTGGTTTGATATATATCGCAGCGCATAGTTAGTATATTTTCCTGCATACTTTTTGTTTTAGAAACCGGAAAGTCTTCAGGAATGTAATTTAATTTTCGGAGAACACGGTCTTGCGAAACCGGTGATGTTGTTGGTTAGGAGACAACCTTTTTCGTTTCGTTTTATATTGTTTTCACATACCAGAAGCTCAGGATGAGTAAATGAAATCACTGTGTGCATGTGAATTGGTTACCATTAAAATGCAAGCTTTCAAGTTTCCTTATGCACCTGCAGGGAAGTAAGTAGTTAACAAAGGAGTGCAATTATTTTGTATGACATTTCTTCTGATAATAATATTTCATTTCTTTTTCCAGAGACCTAATCCTTCAGGACAGAAAGATCGTTATTATATCTGTCTTTGGGAAGACATCATTTCTTGCTTCAGGCTGTAAAAGTGGAATACTTGACAACTTAATTGGACGTCAGATTTTTCAATCTTCTTTGTCTGATCACAACATTTTTGTCAACGATGACCTTATGGTTTGTTTTAATATGCATAATTTGTGACCCCCCATGTAAATGCTTTAAAGTGTTTATTGCGATGCAGTGAAATTGTGTTGTAATTGTATTAAAACTCAAGTAGTGAAAGAGAAAAAGATAAGTGTGGTGGTGCATTGATGGAAAAGTAATAATAAAATATCAAACCACAAAGTTTAATACTTTATTATTACTAAGTAAAGTTTAATGTTTTTAAAAGAATGTTCTCCAAATTTCAATTTTAAAATTGGCCTGGAATTTAGTGGTCACATAGAGACTTTGTGGATATTAATGTAATTTTCTGTTATTCTTCCTTTGTCTTTCAATTTTTTGTTTAAGGATATTAAAATTGATGTTACACCCTCGTGTTCCTTATCTATATTTAATACATGTAAACATTTTCCTTCCAATTTTTTATGCCCTTTTTGTGTCAAAAATTTAACATATCATTTTATTTTTGGTCTCTGATGTTATAAATATATTTATTGCTTAGAAGTGTTGCTTGTGACATATTGTATTTTAGAAACTATAAACTTTTTTTAAATTTTTCTATTTCGTGAAAGGAAAAAAAGCCATTGATTACCATTGTAGATGTACTTAGGTTCAGTGGTTAATATTGTAGAAACCCATTTTGGTTAGGACATAAAATGCCTCTGATATTGTTGTCCTTGCAAAACAGACAACTAATGTTTACCACATTTCTTTGGAATTGTCGAAGATAAAAAATTCTTGAAAAATGTTGTTCAAATATAAATGGTGTATGTAACTATGATTATTTGTGAAAGATAACTTCTTTTTTCAGCACAAAATTGCATTGCAAAAGTTAGTTTGACTTAACTTACTCCAAATGTTTCATGGCTGTTGACATTTTAAAAGCTATATCTCTTTAAAATTTTTGAATGTGTGATTTTGTTCTTTGAAATTATCTATTAATTTTTGTAGTGGTGGCGCTAAGTGAGGGTTACTTTTTAAGAAGTTGATGTGCAATGCACATATTCGTATTAGACTACCGTGGGTAATCTGATACATTGAGGGATATAAAGGCACAGAAAATATACTGAGAAAATACAGAAAAATGGTTAAAAGACTTCAACAATCAATATCATTCACCTTGTTTGGGTGGAAGGAAACAATATGTTAATGCAACACACTTTCTACATGGAGAGAAGAAATCAGAAAATTACATACTTTTTAAAATGTATTTATAATGTTATCCATGTAACAAGTAGTAATCAAAGCAACATTTGTTTAGCAATATTTTTAACATAGAAACTTTGCTAACTCACGTTTTTCAGTATTACTCGATTACCAACATATTGCCTTAAAACTACTACGACTTCCTATGACCTTGGAACTATAGAAACTGACAACTTGTTTTGTTGCATTTATTTATGGCAAATTATAAGTACTACATAACGCTAAAGGAATCTGCAGAGAAGGACATTAATAATTATAAATGTTCAAACCTCATTTTCCATAGTGCAGGAAGGGGTTCAAAACAAATCGACTTTTTAATTTTTTTTAATAGGTCATAATCATTGTTTCAAAAGGTTTTATTTGGAGGAAATTTTAACCATCTATGCCAGGAAATTGGGAAATGCATGGAAAATAGTCAAGTAACCTTTGCTCATCCTATTAATTTTTGAGAAAAAAATTCTCATTTTCTTGTTTAATTTTTACAGTGTGATATTGAAGGATATTATGACAGGAACCAGCAAGTAATTTTTCTTCATCTTCAAGGTGTGTTTGATATATCCACTCTTGTCAAATTTTGTGGTGAAGAATTTCTGAAAGACGTGGATGAAAAGGTATTTTTATAATCTGAAAGAAAGTTTGTGTAATGCTGTCAGAGAATTTTTTTTTTTTTTTTTTAATGCTTTATTTTTGTTGCAGGGTTTTTTGCCTGTTTGGGCGGAAATGAAGCACAGTTATGCTAAAGCTCTTTTATTTCTTTTCTTAGTGTCTCATATTTTAATTATACATCATCCTACATGTATATTTGACACCAGTTACATTTATCTGTTCAGAGCTCTTGATACAATTAGGTAAGTATTCTAATTTATACAAAGAGAAATATGGATAATTGGACAGTTTCTTCCAATTTGCTAATATGATGTGTTGATAAGAAATTAGTTGCAAGTTATTTTAAATGAAAAAAAAATTGATGAATCTTTTTCCTAAATCTTCTTGCTGCAAATTAAATTCTCTTAATAAATTATTTCTAATAGAATTGTTCATACATTGGTGTTTTAGGCTAAAAGCATTACCTGCAATAGGAGACATTTTGCGTGCCATACCAGGTATCTCCAAGGAATGGGTGAGCAATGGTCGCCCATGCTCTCCACGAGTGCTTTTTGTTTTTAATTCGTGTCCAGCAATATTTAGAGAAGACTTGAAGAAAAGCAACTGTGATAAATCAAGTGCAGTAACAAGTGCATCTAGCAATTCAAGTGGATCCAGCCATCAGAATAAAGCACCTACTATAAAACGATTGGAACATGCCTTAGAAGATCAAATATATCATATACTTCGTAAAAGTCGTGTTATAACTAATAATAGGTATGGCAAATGGAAAAATAAATTTAATCTATTCTTATTTTATGTTGCATAATATATTTATTCAAATTTAAACATTTGTTTTACATTTGAACTGATTTTTTTCTTCTAGAATTTTCATCACCAAAGACTATAATTTAACTTTCCTCAAAACTTTTTGTTTTAACACGCAATCTTTCATAGAGAACAATCTTCTCTTGTTTGTGCCAGTTGATCCGAGAAGGTCCACTACAATTTATAAAACTGAGCATTTCCCTTTTGGTCCTTTTTACTTTCTTGCATACTACTTAGTAATATGTATTGTTACAAATAACAGGAACTGTTACAAATAATGTGTGGAAGTATGTGTAATTGTAGCACTGCTAGTTACTTTTTCCTTTCTTATATTTGAAACATATTTGAACTACACTGATAGTTCAATACTGGAACGTTAAATTAGACTTAATTGGCTGCTGTAGAAATGTTACACCTTTTCATATTGACTAGCCGATAAAATGGATTGAAGTTTTACAGGAAGGGGAGAAAAGGTGTCTGGGATGACTGTAAGTTGACATGTGACTTCAGTTGCAGCATTAGATGTTAATATTATTTTATGTTTTTCAGTTCAAATTCCCTGTTTGCCATACCTGCAAATTTAGAATTTGTATTTGTTCAAACGAAACAAAATCCATCCGTTGACAGATTAACCCAAATGGCAAATTCATTGATCGAATTTTGTAAAAGTCCAAGTTCTGATTCAACTAATTTATCAAATGCTATGAACAGCCTTGCATTAGATCCAGCTGCAGAATCAAATGGTAATTTTATACTTTTATCTTACAACTTTTTCATTATTGGTCTTAATTGAACAGAAATCAACATAATTGAAAATATGTGTAAAAAGTTGTTTATTTCTATTTAGTTACAGTGAAATCAACATTTTTGTGCCTTATCATTTCTTGTATATCTTTTCAGAACATTCATTCAAAGACTTTTTGCAAAAGCATATCGATCAGGCATTTGCCAAAGGATTTGATGATAATGTAGGAAGACATACAACTCCTGGACATTTTGAAGTAAGTAATCAAAAGGAGTGATATGAACAAATTATAACTTGGTAACTACATACAGTGTTAAAGCCAATTTTCCTTTTTATATTTTCTGATAATGATATGTAAAAGATAGCTTTAATGCAATTTTACAGTTTGAAGAATTCTCTAATGTCATTCCTTTATATTCATTACTTGTTTCAGAAATTACAGCAAATTTTATTAAGTTTTTAAAATTAACAGTCTGAATTCCAATGAGATGAAACTAATTTTCATTGTGTTTGTAGGCACCAACATCAAATCTTTGGTATGAAGTAGCGAATAATTTGTACAAATTTTGCCTTCTGCAAGAGGAAAAAGAGGCTAATTCTAAGATGCTAAATAATCTTCACAGCCTGCTTGATGTAGATGTGAAGTTTAGTGAAGGACGATGTGGAAAGGTTCTTCCTTTGGCTTTAGCAACATACCAAGAGAGTCTTCCTCCTCATTATACAAGAGACTATCATGAATCCAAAGTGAGTAATATGCGTAAATCTTTAAAATTAAGTGTGACTTAAAATAAAATGCAGTCGTCCAATAATTTTGTTGCATTTTCCAAGGGTTCCAATTTATATAAGGTGATAAAATAAAATTAAGGATGCTAAACTTTGCGTTGTTAAACTAATATGGTCATGATCGTTATCTTCTATTTAAATGCCTTGAAATTGTATTAAACTCAATCTCGGCAAAAGGATTTTGTATTTAGACACGTACAAATGCAGTAATTTTATTGTAGATTTGACTGCCAGTTGTATTTAATTGTGTCTTATATTTTGTATAACTTGTATCTTATCAGTTATACAAAGTGCATTCATAAAGTTTCAAGACTGGCATCAGAACAAAAATATTATTTAAAATTTTTGTAAAGCGAACTAAAAGTCCGACAAGAGACAATATTACAAACATTATTCAATTTTTCTTCATCAAATCTTTTTGAAGTTTGATGTTTGATTGACTGCTCTATTTACAAAGCAATATACTAAAATTCCCATTTTCTGTAACAATGGATGTTTTGATAAATCATTAAGTGTTACCTCTATATTAGTTGGTTTTGGTACCATTTAGTGAATATCTTCAGGGGTGGATTTTAATTACGTAAAACATCGCCAAAAACGATCAATAAAATGCTTTAAAAATTCAAAAATGCAAAAAAGTTGATCAAAACCACTTAAGATGAAAAACTCAAGTTGTTTAATATGTTACTGATGTAATCAAGGCTTCTTCTTTTTGTGCAAGTGAACTCAACTCAGCTTGCAAACTTTGGGTTTGGAAAGTTGCTTAAAAGAAAATCTCTGCCTTAATTTGTCGTAAAATCGGCCTAAAAGACAATGGCGCTGATAAACATCACAGAAATGTTATATTACACAGTACTCCTAATGGCTTGCATTAAAATATTCAAGTGAAGAAATCGATCAGACATCTCAGAAATTCTGTGGTGAACATTTGTTGCATCTCATAAATATTGTTTGAAGCAAGTACCATTAAAATGATATAAAAATCAATGAAATCAGCAAAAAAATCAGTAAAAATGAGGTAAAAAGATTTCAAAAAAATGATGTATTAGTCAAAATCAACAAAAAATGCAAGAAAATTAGCATATAAAAATGGGTCATTTCGCTTCGTCATAATATAAAATGAATTTCTATTCCAAACAGCATTGTTCTAAAGGGAAAATAAAAAAAAATTACATTTCATTAAAATCCAACCCCTACTTATTATTTTTGTGGTCGCGAATTGGCCATCTTGCAAGAGAGGCCATCATGAGATCATGTGAATGTGCGACCTACCGGGCCTCAGTTACGTTCATAGAGGGTAGGTGCACATGACTTTTATGGATGGGATCTGTATTTTCATGATGAATCGGTTTTTACACCCAGGGTTGTTAGCCCTGGGGGATGGGGTGAAAGGAGGAGGATGATGAAAAATGAAAAGGACAATCACAAACATACAGAGAGACACAAACACAACCATGCCCTAGGCGGTAATCAAACCTGCAATACTTTAATCCAAGACTGCCAGGACACTACTGCTTTAATGATTTCAGCTGCCCAGTTTGGCCAACTTATTATTATATTATTAATTTAATTTAATTCATGCTATATTTTACATGTTGAGACTCAGGTCATTTGACCCTATATTCCATTTGACCACAAAGATTTCACTACGCTCCTTTCTCCTCTTAGTGGAGAAATAAAGTATCACTCGGGTGACAAAACAGGCAATTTGGATTGAGTTCAGAGGCTTCTTTTAGACTTGAGGACCTTTTACATGCAGTAAATGTACTTCCTGGGGCTGCTGGCTTTTCTTCCCCTTCGAAGGAAGGTGTCTGTAGTATTGTTTTGCTCTTAAAAATCCACGACTTTAGTCAGATTTGAACCCCAAAACTTAGTGTACTACAGCCCAAAATGCTAGTCATTATATCACAAAAGCCGTGTACGTAGATAGATATGTGTAGGAAATGAATGTGTTTTTGTTTTTCTGACTCCACCATGTTGACATCGTAGTCCAAAATAAATACTTCATAGTTTTTTGTTGTGCTTTTCAAATTTAAAGAAAATAACTTCACATAAATTTGAATAATATTAAACAATGTGTCAATACCAATTGACTAGATGGTGAAGAGGTTTTTCTAAAGTAGGTTAATAGGGGAAAACTACCCCGTATATAAGACTTTTTTTTTCCTGCTGTCTTACATTTGCAGGTTCAGGATAGTAAAACAGTATCAATATGCCTTTCCTTGACAAGACACTTGCAGGCAACAATAAAGTTGTTAATAAACTGTGTATCAACAAATACATGGATGTAGATTTATTTCTAGGCGTCCACTATGGATGCGCTGAGTGTTGGTTTGGCCCCGTCAATGGCTTGTACAATGTGCTGACTGGCTCAAATTTCTAGTGAATTTCTGTATATCAGAGGAAGACTTTGACGGTGTAGACAAAGTGGCAGCACATTTTAACAGTCTCTACTTCTACAACTTACAAATATTGCAATCTCCGAATTGACCGGTAAACCACCACACCCCTTTGTCTCATGGTCAAACTCGAACTGCTCAAGGGCAGTCACTGCCTGTAAAAAAGTGTTGGCACATCTGAAACCCGTTCCAACAGCGAATAACTAAACTTTTCTTTTCGGTTTTGTTTCATTTTTTGATTATTGATATTTTTTTATTTCAGTATTGTTATATTTTGTTTCAATTTAACAGTATATCATATTAAGACATGCCTGTTATCACAAGATAATTTTTTATTGAAAACATTTATATCTTCAACACATTAAACAAATAACATAATAATCAGTTTTCTCATTACATTTCTATTCTCGTGTCATTACATAACAAAAGTTTATGTCTATAAATATTCTTTGAATGAATCCAATAATTCTAATTGTAACACATACTTGGGTTCACCTGCTCGTAGATGTCAGACTGGCTAAGGTTTGCTGTAGTTACCTCTTATTGGTCTCTCAACTGGAATTGCATAAAATTTTGAATAATAGGAAAATAACAGCCTTTTTAAATGTGGAATTTCAATTTTTGAAACTAACTTAGCCAATGCTTCAGAAGGCACGTAAATTCAGTATGGAATATTTTATCAAAGATGCTTTATCAGTACTTATTACATTTACTTGGTTGAGGTTGCATTGCTGCTTAATAGTTTGTTATGTTAATTAGTGTGAATGTAATATCTGTTTTAGTTAACTCATGCTCTGGCTGTGTTTGCTGAGCATGCTCGTGGCCCATTATTTGATCAGTTTGCCACCCAGTTAGAAAAAGAATGTGATCGTCATTGGAGAAATGGACGACAGATGTGTGAAGTGCTGAGCTTGACTGGCAATCCTTGCACCAACCCTCTACACAGAGGGGGAGGCGAAGGAGCAGGAGGAGGTGAACTACAAAATGAAGACCCAGATGATGATCCTGAGATAGAAAAGTTTGTATTTTATCCAGTTCCTTCATTTAAAAAAAAAATGTATAAAATTAGAAAGCTAATACACAAGATAATGACTTCAGTATCATGGGCATCTTAAAAATCTCTTTTGTTCATAAATTAATTTCAAATATGGCTGCTGCAATATAAGTCAGTGAATTAAATTAAAATTTCCTTGTTTTAATTTTTCAAAGATTCATTGTATCTGCTTTTGACACTACAGTGTATTGGCACCAAATGTCTTCCTTGGAGATTTGACGAGCTATTGGAAATTACATCGTGATTCTCAGAGGAGTTGAATCAAAGCTTGATTAATTTTGTTTATTCTTATTTATAAAGCAATTATGCCAGAATGGGCTGGGGAGATAAAGAAAATGCAACCTAATATATCAATATCTTCTCTGAATAGTCACTTGTGGAGTGTGAGAGATGTACTTTCAGGTATTAAAGTGTTCATGTATAGATCAAGTGCATGATGAAAAAATGAAATGGCCAGTTGAATAGCACCATGATGCAAACCAATAATCTGTAAGGACATTGTTCTTTGATTTCAAAGAAGAAAGTAATAGTTTAAAATTTAAAAACAAATTTGGCGCAGTAAACATGAAAATAAAAGAAATTTAGATTTCACCTAATGATTATCAAAGTCAGTTCTATTGTCAAGTCACTGGGTTGAAATGAACGTGATTCAATCAAAATGCAGATCACAAAAGCTATATGCTTCATTGAGGTTTGAAGCAGATTATGACCTTATGACCTATTTAAAATATGAAGGTTGTGTAGAGCTCTGAAAATAATCCTTTCACAAAGCAACCAATGATTATTACAGCTATCAACTTTTTTATGATAATTGGAGTCATGAATCAATTATAAATCATTGTGATCGGTAATTTTCATGGGAATGTGTTTTATGTTGTTTTCACTCTTAACATAATTAGGCTATAGCTTAATATAATTAGGCTATCGAAGTGCTGGGTGGCTTGCATAGAAGTTGTGTGCATTTAAATCCATTAGATGCCGGTCAGTTATTCAGAAGAGTAATTACTGAATAAGTATTTCAAGAGGTAGATTATTCAGGAACAACAACTTCACATAGTGGTGCTTAAGGGCACATTTTGAAGCAACTTGACTGATAGTTTTCAATCGGATGAATATTTTACATATATCACAGAATCTATTTCAGAGGCCAATTTTAGTTGACCTGGAATGCTGATCCACAAAGTTATCATACTCTTCTCCTTTTTTTGTGCAGGATTTTGGTAATTTGCTGTTAGGGAACTAATGCAAGAAAATAGTATAGTGCCATTTCTTCATAAACAGAAAATAATTCAAAGTTACATAGTCTTGATTGCAGCTTTTTTTTGTACAGGGTAGATCGTTCTCAGTTACCTGTAATGGAACATTCTAGTGGAGTACGTTATATATCTGCTTGCAACTGTGGGCGAAAACAAGGTCCTCGAGAAGATCCTTTCACCATGAGGGCTGCAAATTTTGATTTTTACAAACTTTTATCTGAAGATTGTGGATGTGCCAAATTGGAAAATGTTCAGTTTCCTGTGTTTCAACCAAGCACCCAAGACTACAGGTAATGAATTCCATTAAAATTGAAACAAAAAATTGAATTTTTTTTGTTGCTGGTCATTTAGGTAACTAAGTGTTGAAAACTGTTTTAAAAGATGTGGACTTGAATAATTGTAAAATAATTTTTCTATTATAATTTTATCGTTAATTCTCCTTCTATAAATTAAAATTCCATTTCCCAAAAATTTAAAAATTTTAAAAATCTCTGTCACCTTTGTTGTTGTTGTTTTTTTTTTGTTTGTTTGTCTTTTCATCATTCTTACAAAACTAAAGTTGAAAATGTTGCAAGCAATTTTATTTGTATATTTCTCATGATACAGGGCTGCCCAGCTGTTTTCTAAGAAAGCTACATCTCCACCAGTAACTGGGCCAAGTGACAATTTGCCTCAGAGCACTGAAAGCAAAGAAATTGCTGTTAGCACTCCTCAAGGGGACACACAAGGTTTCAGCTTTGGAGGTAAGGTAATTTTGGTGATGACTCTGGAATTCTCTATACAGCTTGGAGTTTAGGTTACTTTTGGCATGCAATTCTCAACTCTGTGAGATTTATATGAAATCTCACCTTTAGATAGGGTATCATTGGAAGTCCATAAATTTAAAATTTGAAGTGCTTTTGAGAAACAGAAGAAGTGCTGTAGAAAATATTACTTTCAGCATGGTTTCTTTCAACTGTTGGGTGGGCCCTCTTGACAGTGTGACCATGGCAGCAAGCTGACATTGGAGTCGTTGTACAGGCGTGTTTAGATTTAGATTTATTTAGTCAAAACACTGTATGTGATGTATGGGGGAAACGATAATCTGCGCACGTTTTCTTCAGTTCTAGAATCTCTTCCCATCATTTTAACTATAAATAGTTGAAAGATGATTATAAGTTAAAGATAAAATAAATAAAAATAAAATTTAAAAAAGGCATGAGATTAGCGATATTTGAAAAACTAAACATACTACCTAGTTATAGGAAACGTTTTGCTATGGTAAACAAACTGCAGATTTGAATTTCTGCTTTGCTAACAAAATAGTAACTGGCCCTTACCTCCTACCACTACAAGCAAAAGGAGAGTTCAACAAAACATATGCATAGTGAAGCTACATTTATGTCCAGAAGCAAAACAAGGGGCCATTTCAGCGTTTGCTCAATGTATTAGGGAAACTGGGCAAAAACCTGATTGAGATGAGGGTCATTGACCCGGAAGCTGAGGTTCATTATTTGTTACAAGCGTTTTAAGTCTGTTTAAAAAAATTATACAATACAAATGTAAACTAATTCATTATATATCACTATTTTGTTAAAATAAACATTATTTTTCTTTTTGTTGATCAGTATAGTCCTTAATTGTATAGAAACAGTTGCTTTGTCACAACATTCTATTTTATGAACAAATTATAGGGTCTGATTCAGTATTATTCTGGTGAATTAAATATAATTAATTTTCTAACTTTGTATGCTGAATTTATTGCTCATAGTTAATTTGTTGTTAAAGAACTGTTGAGATACAATAATAATTTACATGTTTCTTTGACTTGCTGAAATTGTAAATAAAAAGGTTGCATACAATATTTTATTTGTAATGTATTTATGTAATATTAATAATAATTATTATTATTATAATTATAATAATAATAATAATTTAAATTATTTTTGTGTGTAATATAGCACTCTGTTTTTCTGTGTAGCTGGATTTGTTTCCAGTCAGTCTGGAGGAAGTGATTTAATTCAAGAGGAAACAAATAGACTCACACCCCATCCTCCCCGTGAAACAAGCCCTACAGAGGGACAAAAAATAATAATTGAAGTATCGGATTCTGATTTGGATGACAGCAAAGGTTTGCTTATTTTATTATAAATTTAATAGATTTGAATAGAATAAATACCATATTATATATATTCAGTAAAATGTGTCTGAAGAGCTGACTCACTACTGGCTCCTAGGAACAAATCACTGTTAGTATAGGACGCTTCTGATTGGAGGTTTGTGGAATATGGAAAGCACATCTAATTTTGCTATTTGCAATGAAGTTAAAGATATGTGTGTTAATACCTAGTTTCTTACTCTTCAACCACAGAATTCTGAGAGTCCCCCGAGGTGTTTTGTTTATGGCTAATATTACTTCATGACATTTTGAAACATTTTTGTTACTAATAGCTCAAGAAAGATAAACAGAGATTTCTAGAAGGATTTTAGAAATCTAGCTTTTCTGTGGGTAGCCTTTCCAGAAATAGGCCTGAAAGGACCCCTTTTGGGCTGTGGCTTAGTTAAAAGGTATTCCTATGAGGAAAAATGTGCTGATATCAACAGTGGACTATGACAATGAAGTATCTTTACACTTCCACTATACGACACTGTCTCTATTGAGCTAGCAGATATTCAATTCAAAATTAAATTTTGTTTTTACCACAAATGTGAACACATTCCTTATGTAAATTGTGCAGGAATTGGTGACCATCAAGAATTAATTTTCCTTCTGTGAATACGAGTGAAAAATTGAATTAAGAAAAGCTTGATTACATGCTGAATGATTAATTTTTTAGTGAAAGAAACAATCTATTTTTCACAGCAACAATGAGTATTCATAGCTTCAAAGACTTTGAAGGTGCACATTGATGACAAACAAACAACAGTGTTCTTTCAGAACTCATATGTGGAATACGCCTGCTAAATATGGTATAAATATATTCTGGTGTTGGGATGCGGTGAATGGTTTTGCATTGAATGACTGTACATACTGTGGTAGGCAAAGGCTCAACCCTTGAGAAACGAAGGATACAACGTTATTGAGGGAAGTTTTCAAAGGTCTCAGCTTTTCTGTACCAAGGAATTCCGTTATGATCTTTTGAAGCGACATCCGTGCAGCCTTTTCAGCACTATTCAAGCCTCAGTCATGATCCCTCATAAGCTCCTTCATTTGTGATCCTACAAATATATCCTTCTTTATTTTTGCCTCACTGATCCTTGGGAATTTGTTCTTTAAGTACAGGAAACACAGTAATTGTAGTTCCCTTCTGAAGGAGGTTCCAACCCTTTGTTCAAACCACTAACAATTCTGCCTTATTCTTCGACATGTTTAAATCATGAACTATATCTTTTTGTTCTGACCGATTGATATTCTATAGATATTCCACCGAAATTTGGGTGGTCAATGTCGTTGTTTCTTTTAAATCTTTTATCCATCACCTTCACAAAATTCTTCATCAATCCAAGTTTGGTGTGCAAGACAAGGAAGATGCATGTGCAGCATTACAAGGGATTCCAAAGTTAAATATTTTGTCCTGGAATCAGATGTCGTCGAGACCAGTGCTTTTTCACAAAATAATTTTTGCAATGCATTTTTGCAATCCTACTTGTGTAGAAAACAGCATATCCTTGGTGTAGGATGTGATAAAATATTGTATTGTATATCTGCTATTGTTTGTTCGATAACAAAAGTTTCATGTACCAAATGTCTCTTTTATATGGGCTGCATGAGCAAGGGGAATATCTTGTTTCTCATTCCCGATATGAGTAAGCCTGGCTTTTAAACTGAGCTTAGAGAAATCTATGACCTTCATTCTTTAGAATCATGATGGTCTCCCATAGTACTCAGTAATGCATCACAATACAATACATTAGATTGACTTCTTCTGAGAATAGGTATCGGAGATTTTGTTCCCATCGACAATACACAATAATTGTAGTTCCCTTCTGGAGGAGGTTCCAACCCTTTATTCTTGCCGCCAACAATTCTGCCTGATTCTTCGACGTGTTTAAATCATGAACTAGATCTTTTTGTTCGGACTAACAATGAAAATCTCACTTGACGGTGACGGATTTTCCTAAAAGAACTATCTGAAAAACTTACCAAACGAGACATGAAATAGAGGGTTAACAATCGCAAAACTCATAAAAGAACACTGAACTACCAAAATTATTTTTGGAATCCTCAAAACTGTAGGTATAGAAGTCGGCAATAGAATCTGTACCAACAAACAGAAAAGGTTAATAATATCTTAAATTAAATATTAATATGAAGAAGCATTTTGGTTTATTAATGTTTATTTATAAAATTCCAGTTCTTACTTATGTCCGCACAAATTGGTCAGACAAAGTTAGTGTGTTTGTACAAAATGTGTAAGAAATATTTGAGGAAAACACAATCTCTATTTTATTAGTTGTAATAATTGCAAATAAAAATTACACTATAATCGAAGTCTTACTGTTGTAAAATACACAAAGAGAAAATACCATTAACTTTAATTCTCCTAAAAAGTTCTTCACTTTTCCCTATTTCACTATGTCAAGAACACTAAAATATTTAGAGGTTGTAAAATAGATGCAGACCACTTGGCAAAGAGCAACATTAAACTCACATTACAACAAACAAAAACTAAGGAAAATAGTAATAAAACACCCCCAAAACTCAAGGTATTCCTTCTAGAAGATAAAAGTATCAGAATCTTATTTTTTATTATGTTTTGTGGAAATTTGATAATTAGCAGATTGTAAAGGTCACAATTAAAAATATGATCTTTCGTATACTTTCAGGCCGTGATTATTAACATTCAGAAAAGGGGTTCAAGTAAGATATGTAACAATTATAGGAGCATTACTTTGCTATCAACAGCTTCTAAGCTGTATACAAACATGCTGAGGAAAAGACACAATGAAATATGTGAGAATTTAATGGGAGAAGAGCAGTGTGGATTCCGAAAGGGTAGAATAAAGACACATCTTTACATTACAAATGTTAATAGGCAAAAGAAGGGAAAAGAATCTACCAACTTTTATAATATTTATTGATTATGAAAAGGCAGGTGACAAAGTTAATAGACTGAAACTCTAGGAAATACTAGAAGAGGAGAAAGTTCCAAATTTGTTGCTCAATGCAATACAAAGTCTCTACAAGAACTCAAGAATTCAAATACTGTCAAGAGAGGCAGAATAGTTGGCAGCAAACGGTGGCTTAAGGTAATGATGTGGATTATCACCCATCCTCTTCAAGCTATATATTAACCACTTAGTGAGAAACTGGAGAAGGAAAGTTAGGCAAGGGATATAGATCACAAAAGACAAGAAGGTATATAAAATCTTGTATGCTGATGACCTAACTATCATTATGGATTCTGAAGATAATTTACAAAGAGCAGTTTTTGAATTGACAAAAGTGGCCCAAGAATATTGCATGAAAATAACAATTTAGAAAACAAAAGTTATGGCAATACAAGGCAAGGAACAATGGAGAGCCAAAAAAGTAATTAATGGAACAAGTAAACAAATTTTCACACCTTGGAAATATAAGTGTATACAACCAAACTCTGGAAGACATAGCAAACAAACTTAATTACTACAATAGAATATGTGAAATAATTAAGAGACACTTTGGCAGAAACATGGACACGGAAACAAAATTAAAACTCCACAATATGGCTGCTAAACCTAGAATCGTTTATGGCCCTGAAACATTGGGTAATGAAAGAGAGAGACAAACAAAAACTATTTGCAGCACATGAGAGATTTCTAAGACACCCCGTGAGAGTCACAAGAAGAGAGAGACTGAGAAGTAAAGATATCAGAAAGAAATTGAAAGCCAAATGTTTAGTAGGAGAGATAGAGCAACCACAAAGGAAATAGAAAGATCATTTACAGATAAATAACAAGAATAGATTTCCAAAATTGAACTCGATATACAAACAATAGGTATCAGAGATAGAGGCACACCACTAAGAGATGGCAACAGCAGGAACACTTGGAAGACTAATAATGTACCAAGAATACTGTAATAAACCAATAGAAACAGGCTTAAAAGCCTTATTTCTTGTCAGTTCATCATGATGATGAATTTAACCCAATTAAAAACAGATGGACATCTTAGTATAAAAGATCTGCAAAGTTAACATAATGTGTAACTCCATAATTTTTTCATTACATATATTTATTCCTTATGCTTTTAATTTGTATATTTTCATTTTTTTCAGATAAATCTCTTGTTCGGCAGCCATCAACAACAGAATATTTACCTGGCATGTTACATGCCGAGTCACCTGCAGGTTTACTACCTCAGTTTCCTTCTTGGTCTTTAATCTGTTTGGGTCCATCCAGTTTATACTCACACAATTTGGGACTTCAAGATCAGCAGCAAGCAGGCTTATTAGGAGGTTCCGCATACTTGCTTCCATGGGACGTGACTGTTCGTCTGGAACACCATAGGTATATCTTATTTGCCATTTTGTTGCATATTTTTCTTTCTACTTTCTCATTACATTTTGGTTAGAAGCTATTTTCTGCATTTTAATTAAAATGTTAATTTTGAAAAATTAAGTTTAAATTAAATAAAAATAAATCAAACAACTTTGAATTTTTATTATCAAAATATCCAAATATACTTAATATCATTATTAATTATTTTGACTTGCACCATTATTTTCAATAAAACTTCCTTGAAATATTGAGATTTACAAATCTTTTGCAACAATGCTAACATAACTTAATGTAACTAAAGAAGGGTAGAAAATTCTTTCAACTGTAAAGAGAATGATATGAATTGTTGTTGGATCAAAACTTTATTGGTATAAGTAATATATTACAAATTTCCAATGTACATGAAATTTAAAGAAAACTATGGAGTCTTCAACCATGTGAGAGATATATATGGTTTTGTAATATACCCAGCTACCTGGGAAAAACCAAAAACATTTTCAATTGTAACTGAAAATGCAAATATTTCAGTGTCATATTCTCATAGTGCATGTATTGACTGTACTCTTATACCCAGTGCGTCACCGCTTACAATACATCTGAATTGACTGGGCAGGGATTGAAACGACAGGGCTTTAAGGAAGAGGCACCATTAATATTTTCTGTTTATAAGTTGTTATGGATCAGCAACAGTTTTGATAGTTTAGGTATGGTAACTGTTGTACTTTACGTGTACTGTAATGTGATTACAGTAGTCTTCACTATTATTAAAATATTTAAATAGTTGCAAAGTTATATGAGAGTATTTTGTTTTGTTTGTATTTTGTCTTGAACAGTGTGTATTTTAGTTTTTGGAAAACGATTTTGTATGTCTTTGTTGAACATCATTTTTCTGCTGCAGACCACTAATTTTCTTAATAATGGCTTACTAGTTACGTGCTGAATAGGGCTCACCTTTTGAAATACAGGGATTTGATATCAATGTGCCAGGTGATGTCAGATGTTCTTTAAGGGTCTTATTTGGGTCTCTTACTTTTCATTATCTTACTGCACATTGTGATATGAAAAATGTGTTGATATTTGTAATTACGTGTAATTTGAAGTTGATTGTATAATTTTTTAAATGATTGTAAAATATGGTGATAACCAATGACTAAAAGTAGCTTTTAGTTCTGTCTAAAAAGTGTTTGGAAGATCAGATTGTGTTAAATTCCTCTAAATGCAAAAGTTTGACTTTTTGAAGGTCTAATAAGCCCTTATATACAAATTTGTTGAAAAAGAGATCTCTATTATCTATTAGAAAGAGGGATGTTGAATTAGATTCTAAATTGTAATTTAAGGAATTGTTGATTCTGTTGACCGTAAAGCCAACAATTTGCCAAAGCCAAATCCTTGAGGTAGTAAAGAGAACCTATTTGGGACTTCAGTTACCTAGTGTGTTGGAGTCCCTATACCTTTACCTTTACCTTTAATCTGCACTTCTTCCCAAAAAGAAGTATGTGTTGAAATGAGGGTATGGTTTATAGACAAGATAGGGGTGATTGAAATCAAATGTAAATAAATGATTTATTTTTGAACAAATTCGAAAAAATTCACACCAATTCAACCACTTTCATTATTATTCCTCCCCATGTTGTTGCCACCATTATAATAATTATTTATTTCCTTCAGTAACGAATTATTCTTCCTCCCATGTATCTTATATAGATATGCCACACTAGTTAAAGCTTTTAGTGACCAGCTCCCCTGATGATATCAATGCCCATCAGAATTCATCAACAGATGTCGACCTGCATGGCTTTCTTGAGGCAAACCGTCTCCTTCTTGGCTTGTATTCTGCACCCACATGTATAGGAATGCTGCACTTGTACCTTAAATGGTTGATTTATCGCCACATCAATGGGCTGCAGCATTCCTGTCATGCCTCTTAGAATAAAAACACCAAAGCACTTCAGTTCAAAGTTCAAACACTGAAATGTGAGCTTGAAAGCTGTCCAAAATTAGCATAGAGCATTGTAAGTGCACCAGGCCACTGCAAGCACACCTGCTGCATCTAATCCAAGGTGAGATTTCCAGGCATCCATCCTTTTTTGTGGATGCTTATGCTTGGCCGAGTCCAGTCAATGATTATTTTCAAAATTTCTAAAACAGTTAGGCATCTCTAACAAATTGCCTAAAATATTGTTTTTATTTTATTTTTAAATTATTGCTTGTAACTTGGGAAATGTGCACTTGTAAACCAGAATGTTCCCACATAAAAATGAAGTAAATTAAATTTTCTGCAAATAATGCCAGTTACAATTTTTCATCAGAGAAATGATTCAAGTGCTAGAGTGCAGTACATACAGAAATATCATTTCAGGTGGTAAAAAAATACACCAAAATGTTCTCCTCAATTAGACAAACAAATTTTTCCTTTTAACATTTTGCTGAGAAATGCTTTTTTTCTGCACAGCAGTTTCTTGATGATTTCTCTTCTTCTATATTGTCCAGAAATTTGCTCTCATAGTGAGTCAAAAGACCAAGGATATTTTAAAGAATTGCAGAGACAAAAATTACTTTTCACGGATTAAAGTGTAAAGAACAATTCAGATTTGTGAATTGAATTGTGAAAGAATTATCAATGTCGATACTTTTGCTTGTAATGACATTTGATTAATTAATTTAGAAATTATTTCTCCATCATTTACTTCAAAACCTCTTTTGTAAGCTCTAAAACTCTTTTACTACTATAGGTTTGGGTAGTTGTAACGTAAAAATTTCATCATTATTATTTTCATGATAATGCATTTAAAACAAGAATTCATTAGCACTGAAAACTTCATCGCTAAACACATTTCACAGTTGCTTTATGGCTTCTTTGAAGTTGTTCTACATCATTTGACATACATCTCCACAAAAAGTAGTAAGTTATTCAGAGTACATTCCATTAATACCACTATTTTCCCCCCTAATCAGTATGTCTCCATACAATCGTTATTTCCTTTCCTGGAGAAAAAGGTATCAAGGCTGCATTAAAAGTTCATACAATTGATCTTAGTCTCTTTTAGTTAGTATTTCATGAATTGAGAAGTGTGTGCATGTTACCGTCCCACTTTATCATTATATACCATATTCATACCATTGTATCTAAATTCTTTTAATAACCAGGCCCATAATTTAATTTATATTTTGTACTGCTTTTTTTGTGTTGTACATTTTTAGATTGTTTATTCTTTCTCTACCTTTATGATCTTTTTCTTGCTTGCATGTGATTTGATTCAAGTTAAGGTTGGTATAATAATTTAATTGCAATGCCATTGCAGTGCAACTTCATTTAGTGTAATTATGTTTGATATTAACATATAAAAATAGGGACAATATTTTTAGATTTCTTATGCCTTGTATGAATTTAATTTTTTAGGTCTGTTTTATGTTCAAATTGGTTATTGAAATAAAGTAAATTAATTGAATGAAACATTTTTATTAGATTTTTATAAATAAATGTACTGTCTGGATTTGTCATGGAGAGAAATTGTTATTAAAATAAAATTAGGGTTTGTAAAATTTGTATTGTCTTATGAAGAGGGCTTAAACTCCTATTAACAATTAACTTTCTCTCCAGGGATCGGGCATGCTGGCCTGCTGTTGGAGATATGTTTGGCCGGAATAAATTAAATATTAATCAACACAATAATGTTCTCCGTGGACGAAAAACAAAGGGAAGCAAAGGTAATCAAATAAGTTCATGTGTCATGTTAATGGTTTGTGCTTAAATAAAATGCTCATCTTGTGGAGCTAGAGATTTCTGGGGTTTGGAGTTAAAGTAGTTAATGAGCAGAAAACAAAAATATTACAAAGAAATTAAAATCAGATGTTTCAAAAAATTGTTGCCATTAATGGGTATTGAATTCAGGAAACAGGCTGATGACAATGAAAGAAATTAAAATTATTTTAGTTTTATTTTATATAGAAAGTTGGAAACTTCAATTCTTGGCTACCTGGGAGATGCCGCGTCATTGGCTGAGAGACCGATGTTTCACATGACACGCTGGAAGTTTCCTCACTGCCCGAGGAAGCCTGTGACATGTCAGGCGGAATTTCGGCCTCTCAGCCAACGACGCAGCGTTTCCCGAATAGCCAAGAATTTTTGGATTTGAGCCACGGAAGCTTACATGTGCAAGTTGGAAACGTCAAAGTAAGATTGAGGACTTGCACACTAAAAATATTTTTCATCTCTTATCATTTGTACTTTTTAGAAATGTACACACAAATACATAAAATCTGTTCACTTAAATACTTTTTCTGGCAAGCCCTGGAAATAGTAATAAAAGTGTGTACATTTATGACTAGATTCATCAGAATTTGTGGTAAAAATTTTCGTGGGAGTTGAATATGAATGCCCTCGTGGTCATCGCTTCATGTGCTCTGCACCTGATAAAGTACTGAAAACTACAGGTTCCGGACTCGTCAAAGACAATGGAAACAAAGTTACAGGAAATGATATGCCTCTTTATTTTCCTTGTCCATGCAGGTGAGATCTGTTTTATGTTACATTTTAATGAACCTCTGTGTACCCCACTTATCTCTGCAATGTAATCATAGAATTGTAGTTATTTATAAATACTTCAAGAAATGTGCCTACACTGTATTTGTTTTTGTTTATTTTTTATTTAAATAATTTGTGTTCTTTGTTCTCAGAGAGAAAGAAAAAGTAATGAATTACTTAATGAGCTTCGTACTATCTGAATATTGGTAGAAACCATACAATTGGTCAGAAACAAAAGCCATTCATGCTTATACACCTACACACACACATACACACACAGCACACCATACCTCACCACACAATATACTATACCTACCTACACAACATACCACTCCATACAACTTACTGCCCCCCTGCAACATACCACCCCACGCAACATACCACCCCATGTAACTTTCCATCCCACCATCCCATAGAATACAAAAATTGCAAAATATGTAAACTATGTAACATAGTAATAAATATATAAAAATAAGTAACGAAGTCATAGGATAGCAACAATTCATTAAGATCACAATTTTGAGAACGGTTAGTAAAATGGCAAAAAATATGTAATTACATAAAATGCGGACTCTACACATCATACCACACACCCATCATACTACACACACACATCGTACCACACTCGCATGCATCGCACCACACACACACACACACACACATCTCACCACACACACACATCTCACCACACACACACATCTCACCACACACACACACATCGCACCACACACACACACATCGCACCACACGTACGCATCGCACCACACGCACGCATTGCACCACACGCACGCATTGCACCACACGTACGCTTTGCATCACTTCACACTCAAACTTCATCACATCACATCACACCACACCACACTCACTCAACTCACCGCTCTCGCTCAACACACCACTGATACACACCTCACACACACACACACACAACACACACCTCACACACGCACAACAC